TGAATGATGGTTGTTCAGGTCTATGCAATTGCACATATTGCTATAAACTTGGGATTTCACGTTTTCATTCTCTTAAACTCATTATTTCCTCACTTTCTCTCTTTCTTCAACTTGTGTGAATGCGTGTGTTTGTGTTAGATTAGTTTATATGTCTTAGATTTATCCAATAAAGCCTAATTTATATTGAAAAGAGAAGTATCTTGTGTTTTGTGCTTACAAGTTAATGTCTTAAACTGCCGATCTTGTTACTGTACTAATTAATAGTGTTTTCACTATATTTTGAATTTAAATATCCATTGCAGAGTTGATGTTATACGGCTTGATCGCTGGCCGACTCAGTGATCAGTCGTAAAACAGTGATTCTGTCCAAATTCCCTATAAAATCAAAATAATTTCCTTTGAGCTAAATTGACCTGTTTCCCTTACAATTTAAAACTTACAGTATAAAAGTATAACAGTATGAAACATACAGTATATATATATATATATATATATATATATATATATCAGACATTAAATGCATAAAAATGTCCAATTGCACATTTGTAACAGAATTATTGCTCCAGTTATTTATTACACACTTTTAGATTTATTCTTTTCCCACATGAGAAATGCAATGATTGCTATTCATCCAAAGGAGGCAGTAATGTGCTTAAATACAATGTTCCAAACTTGTTCCAAGATTGTGGTTGTCATCGCATTTATTTCAGATGGATGGCAGGAAAACAAACAAATAAAATATTCAGCCAGTGTTCTCTGGCCATCAAAAACTGATTAGATGTGCTTCAGATTACAGAATCTAACAGCCAGAATATATTTTGAATATTCATATGTCAGTAAAAATGCACACAGACAAGCGTATGATTACGGCCACATTGTGTGTGCTGCGAGCTGCTGCCAGTGGCTTGAACTGTCCTTCTCGTCTCTGGAGAATGGACTGTGGATTACGGGGCCACTATCAATTCTAGCACAGACGGGGCCCTTGGCATTCTCCCAACCTCCCGCTCTCAGTCAGGTCCTGATCCAGTGCAGCAGGAAAGAGGTCAGCTTTAAGTAAATCAGGTGAAAAGAGAAGCCAAGAACTGTCCCAGTTCACTGACCTGCCTTTCAAAGCAATAATCCATCTTATCATCTCCTATAAACACATCAAAATCAGTTACTGGAATGAACACACAAAATTCTCCTTTCGAGCAGCCTTAGATCAGTGGATCCCAGACAGAGGTATGTGGAGCCCAAGGGATGTTTTAGCAGGTTTCATGGAAAACTTGGAAATATTTTGGACTGTTAGACCTACATACAGTAACAGCAAAATCTTAAATGTAATAATTAGATCTGTTTAATGCTACAAATAAATATTGTATATAAATGAATATTAGGAATAGTAATAATAAATGTTGTTATTGCAATATATGTATGTAATGCATAATTGTAGGATATTTTATTGATGTTTCTATATATATATCTGAAGAAATCTCAAGAGCCTCAGTTCCAGCAAGAAAAAATCAATAGCTGCTGAGTGCAATTAGAATCAGAATCCCAGTGAAGAGAGCAGAAAAACCTTGAACCTTGAAGAAGTGACTGACTGATTCCTGTCGTAAAACTGAATGTAATGTTGTGTGTGTGTGTGTGTGTGTGTGTGTGTGTGTGTGATCTTTCCAGATTGATATCAGAGGAAATGAGGAGTGGAAACCCTGAGAGCATGAGGGAAGCTGCATGGAGGGTGAATCTAAAACAGACAATCTGTGATGTTTACGATGATTAAGATTGTTTCAGAAAAGATACTGTATTGTGTCAGGTTACTTTGATGCTTCATTGTTTATGCTTCAGTATACCAAAAATTGAATAATTTTTCAAATTTTCAGCATTTTTTAAAGAAATTAATACTTTTATTTAGTGAGGACATACTAAATTGATCAAACGTAAATTATTTTGGATGCGATTAATCACGATTAATCGTTGCCCAGCACTAGTCCTAATTAACCTAAATTCACCTACTATGCATTTGTGTATGTAAAACATTTTAATGAAGAAAATAACTGAATGCACCTTTAGCACTGTGCTAAACTTTCCATAAAAGAAAACGAAAGAAACTAAGAAGAAAAAAAACACATCATCCAGTTTGGAACAACATAAGGGTGAGTAAATGATGACAGATTTTTCATTTTTGGGTGAACTATTGTTGTTCATACTGCAAATAGCATCTGCTCGATATGAATCAGACATTTAAAAATAAATCTGCCATATTTTCACTCCAGAGTAGAGAAAAAGTTTGGCTCAAGCATGTTGTGTCAGACATTTTCCCCAGTCTTAGGCCAGGTTTGTATCTATGCATTCTGCTCAACCATCACTGCTGACATTTCTGCACTTAAAAAAAGGTGCAAAGCAATACTCAGGAGGGACGCTTCATCAGCAAAATGTCTGTAAAACATCAGTCATGGAAAATCTTGACTGCACTTCCACTGGAAGGTGTGATGGTCTG